AGTCTCAGTATGCTTTTCAACAATAATTATGTCAGTTACTTTTTGGATAGCTGCAAATGATGGACTGTAACATTCATCTATCAGTTTATTGTTACATTTCAACAACTACTAGTTTATTATTCAACTATTACATGTGTATTTTACGACCTGATTTTTCAATGAGAGTTTTGCTGCAGATGTAAAGTGCGACAAATTATGTAAATGCAGGGGGAAGGTTAATTGCCTTCCTGCTAAATAGCAGGCCACCCCCCCCCCTCCAAACTACCTAATTGCAAGATAATTTATAAACAAGAGAATTATGCCGTAAACCTAACTCATTTTTTTCTAGAACCTGCCTGAATCCTCCCAAATTCAGCCCTGTGACATAAACCAATAATACAGGTTTTTGTACGTATGTACATAAGTTGGGCATTAAGCCCCATGTAAATTAATGGCATCAGAATCCTTCAAACTCAAGCAAGCACCAAGTGATGAATTTGGAAAGAACTTGGTGTGATAAGGGTTAAAATGTGACAAGCCTTACCACCTAGAGTTACATGTACAATGTACTGTAATTATTTCCATCCCCACAAGTAGGTTCAGCAAACAAGCCAGTCCTAAACTTTTTCAATTTCTTTCCTGACAAAAATGGCCTGACCTGAGTCCTATGATATTCTTCTTCTTCCCATTGAGTGCTGACTTCACAATTGAAGAGGACAGCACTTTGGGTGGGGTGTGATGCGAGAGGAGGCTTAAATTTAGTTAAAGCCGCTTTGCATGATACTTTTTTGCTTTTTTACCTTAATAGAAATGCCAACTTATGGGGACACTGTACTTTGATAGCACACACAAACACAGAAGACAAAGACGAAACTAAACTGAGGCCAACAATGAGTCCATGTTTGAAAATGTGTTTCTGATGCAGAATATGTGGAGAAACACAGGACAATAAAAGGGGCTAACAGCGCCCCCAAGAGTTGACCTTATTGCCCCAATCAGGTAAGGGTGCATGCGAGTAGCTCACCTGGATTGACTCAGGTAAGCCATGACAGCTCGGCTAATCGAACGCTCAACAACGTGCCATTACGATCCTCACGTGATGTCCGTAGCCGCGGCCATAGCCACCGACAAAATGCCCGTTTCGGATTGAGTCTTAGTTCCAGATTTACTGCTTTTCAGTCAATTGCAAAACTCAAAAAGCTGGGCTGGAATTATAGCCTCAAAAGTCGCAATGAACTCAATAAATGATAACATTTACTGGTAGACCTCAAATAAATGAAATTTGAAGTCCACTTGAGATTTCTACTGTCCGGCCGCCATGCTTGTCCATTTCTTGGAATTCGAACAACGCATGCGCGTGACGTATTTCCACCACTGACTCTGCTCCACGAGCAGGGTCTGTGGTGGCTGACCCGGGTGAGTCCCGAGAATGACGTCAGAGCTAATCAAACGGCACGAGACTGACCTGGGTGAGCTAAACGAACGCACCCTCAGTGTGGTAAGACAGACTACACGTAAATTGTACAGACCATTCCAAGAATGCAATCACTACATACATGTACATGGAGGCCCCATTCAAAGGCAAAAGCATTGTGCCAGGTTTACTCGGTGTCCCCAAAAAAGTTGGGCAAGCTGATATCCTTTCATTTCTCAAAAACTACTGAACAATGAGCATTTCATCTTGATGGGGCATATTAATTATACTCTTGTGTGTAATAAGTAAAAAATGCCATGGAAATCCCTTCATGCAAACCAGAGATCTAACAGATTGTAAAAGGCTATGGGTTTTCACCCATTCGAATGGGATTTACACAGTTAGTGATATCAGCGCATTGGATTGTCATGGGCCTTTTCACTCTGATGTAAATTAAGTTAACTGTGTAGATCCCATCGCATTGGAATGGTTGAAAACCCATAGCCTTTTATGATCTGTTAGATCTCTGGTTTGCATGAACGGATTTCCATGGCATTTTTTACTTATTACACACAAGAGTATAATTAATATGCTCCATCATGATGAAATACTCATGTTGAGTAGTTTTTGAGAAATTAAAGGATATCTGCTTGCACAGCTTTTTGGGGAACACCCTGTAGTACAAGGCACTTTGTCAATGAACAGGCCTTAATCAGTATATAGTGATATCATATTCAGAATGGTCAAGACAAGACAACCAAAAAACCAACGTAAAGTCAAGCAATGTGTCCATATTTGATGGTTTGATTCTGAATGCACAGAATGAGAGGTGGAAAATAAAGAGACAAAAAGGGGCTAATAGCGCCCTCAAGAGTTTACTTGATTGCCTGAATCAGGTAAGCGTGGTAAGTAAGACTATGACCAGGATGCCTATCAGTACTCCAATACAAGCGATGATGATTATCAATTTCTGCAGAAGCAAAAGGAAAACAGGAGCAAAATTGGGGGACAAGATGACAACAGTGTTTCAACTTGGGCTACAAATGAATCATTACCATGAATGAAAAACAAAATATCAATTAAATGTCCAAACACTTTGCAATATTTATGTTGGGTAACAAGTAGACATTAACTGTTTTGTAAGGGTAGCAGCTTGGCACATGATTGCATTCTTTGTCTTGCGTTCGTTTACGGTGTAAATCAAGGACACACACGTGCAACATCATCGGTGAACCGAGGATGGGAACCAAATCGAGGACGGCCTCGATTAGAAAACGTGTACAAAACCAATGAGAGCTGTTGCAAAAAAGTACAAACAAAGGAAAAGGGAAGAGGAACAAAAGGAAATCCTTGATTTACACCATAAACAAACGTGCGTGTACATTCATGTGTGTTAGTATCAGCTTAGACAGCGCCCCTGTGTGGTTGATAAAAATGCGCAAAATCCACCACGCAATACGTGTAACATACATACATACATGGCCCCCAAATGTTCCAAACATTCAGTGTGCAAGACCAAATTTGGATTTTGTTTGCTGCATTCATGCTAAATGGCATGCGTGAGGTATACAGCGCACTTGCTTAACAAACAACAGAATGGTCGAAACGGTAGGGTTTTTTTTTACACGATACCACATTAGAGGCCATTAGATGCTACATGGGGCCAATTTCACGGCGCTGCTTAGCACAAAAATTTGCTTAGCACAAAAAAAGTCTAGCTTGTAAAAGCAGATTACCAGCCATTGTGGTTTTCATGCTAAGCAAACAACAGTGAATACTAATCACGAGCAATATATATACATCACGTGGAGTTTTGGCTGGTAACCTGCTTTAAGCCAGACTTTTTTTGTGCTGAGCAAAGTTTTGTGCTGAGCAGCGCCGTGAAATTGGCCACTGGAATTGACAAAGTTTTGTGTTCATAGGTCCATAGTTCAAATTAAGACAAAATATGCTGTTCTTTTAGTCTGGTTCCCTGAGCCTACTTCAGACAAAACAAAGGGAATAGACGTAAGGGAATAGTCAGGCCAGGGAACCATTTTTTGTTTTAAATTGTTGAAAACAGGAAACAAAATCTGAAAGAAAAACAGCGTCTAACATTTATAATATTCAAACAGAAAAGATATTACATATGCCAAATAAAAGGGGAAAAATCAAATTTAAAAATTAACTGAACATACATCTAAGTATTAAAATGATGCAGTCAACAGCAGTTTGGTACAGTACTTTATTTTATTTCAGAGAAATATGGTTCCACCAATTATTCTACAGACTTTGGGAAATAACCAAGCAAATTTGCCGATAGCCTCAATCTACTTTCTACATAACAAGAAGATTTAAATAAGATACCATTAAAGACTCTTCAGGGTTTTTATTTCTTTCTTTTTTGCTAGTCTACATGTAAACAGTGAGGAATACTCCAATATACAAATAGTATACAACATTTAAATATTGATTTAATGTGTATTTGTATATGCACTGCAAAGATAGAGTGTAGTATTGTACTCTTTTTATATAAGGAATATAAGCAGCTGCAAACTGTGGTTTCTTTGACTGAGTTGTCCTGAAATGTGGAAAATGAAAAGTGATAGGGTCTGAATATCAATCAGTGTTGTAGTACTCGTACTCAGTACTCGAGTAATACTCAAGTACTTTTGTTTTTAGAGTACTCGTACTCGAGTGTCAAAGTGCTAATACTAAAAATGACGGTACTCATACTCAATACTCAGGCAGCTAAGTACTCGTACTCGACTTTGTTTTTTTTAGAGTACTCGTACTCGAATGTCAAAGTACTAATACTCAAAATGACGGTACACATACTCAATACTCAGGCAGCTAAGTACTCGTACTCGACTTTGTTTTTTTTTTAGAGTACTCGTACTCGTACTCGAATGTCAAAGTACTAATACTCAAAATGACGGTACTCGTACTCAGGCAGCAAAGTACTCGTACTCGACATTTCGAAATCGTACTCGATCATCAAAGTACTCGTACTCGAATAGCAGTACTCGAACAAAAAGTGGTAAAGCTTGACTTAGCACGGCCTTATTTTATCGATATTTCCAGTTTGAAATAGTTGATTGGCTTGCTGAGGAATCAAAGTTTCCTGATTTTCCTCTGTGCACGTCCGGACAAACACATTCAACAGCTAGCCGTGAGTGGGTCTGCATATCGGTCTGACTGGGCCTGGGCCAATTACGCACTATGAACCATTTTCCCTATGGCCGTATTAGGAAATTGAAGAAGTCATACTCGGAAGAACTCGTACTCGTACTTGATGTACAAGTACTCGTACTCGGAGACCTGTCCTTGTACTCGGAAGTACAAATACTCGTACTCGGTAACCTAAGTACTCGTACTTGTACTCGGTAACCTAAGTACTCGTACTTGTACTCGGTAACCTAAGTACTCGTACTTGTACTCGGTAACCTAAGTACTCGTACTTGTACTCGGTAACCTAAGTACTCGTACTTGTACTCGGTAACCTAAGTACTCGGCAGTACTCGGTACTTGCAAAAAAGTACTCAACTACAACATTGGTATCAATCCCAGAAGAATACTTCTCAAAGGAAAGGTTATCAGGCCACCGCCTTTTTTTTTTTTGGTTCTTCACTTTTTGACAAAGGAAAGTATTGTTTTTAACAAAACAGTTTGGAATCGGGAAGAATGTTAATGAATTGTCAACAGAACAAACAGTTCACAGTTTTTCTATTTTTGTCGGAGATAAAAAATAAAAAAATATCCAAAAATTTTCTAAGATTCGGTTTTCAATTCTAAAACTCTGATTTGTTGATCAAAACCAGAGTTTTAAAGTTTATCATTAAACCTTTTCTTTTTCTGATTTTTATTTAAATTTTTTTCTAGAGGGGACTGGTCGCTGATGATAAAAATTAAACAGCCCCCTCCGTTGTCCAGATTTAGACAACAAAAATGACAAGAATGTTTTAAGGGAGGACAGGCAATGAAAACACTTACAATTTAAGCATTCACAATACCTCCATTGGAAAAGTGTCTTTTAGTAATTCCTACCTGATATTTTATCATTTCATGCGACCAACAAACTTGGGAGAAATTCTAAGACAAAAAAGTGAAGGAACTATTGGAACTTTGTTCTTTGTTACAACTGTTTTTTACACATTGTACCTCAACATCTCAAACACTGTTACACTTGAGCCTATAATGAATCAGATTAAAACTACAGCTGAAAAATTTCAAACTTAATGGCGCTGACACCTAGTATGTAAAAAGGTTGAATGTATATATATAAATATCAATGATTACAGAGTTGTATTGACAATAAACGCTTATAATATGTACAGTTATTTTTATGTCTTCAATCACTCTTCATGCAACCATACTGGGATAGAAATCTCATTAAAAAAAAAAATTCAAATGGTATCTGGAATGAATGGATTACGGTAACCTTTTCCTAACATTATAAAATATCTTTTTCTTTTTTTGGTTTTTCCCTTCTTTTTTTTTGCCTGCTTTCCTTCCAACCAAAATGAAGAGGACTAATTGAGTGAACATCCAACATGTGATTGAATGAATGAGTTGTGGCCACAGCGTGGCAAGGAAACTGCCCCAATTCTCACTGATGAACGATACACTTGACAAGTTTCAAGTCTGGATGATTCCAAGTATGACCCGGCATTAATTACTGTAACCTTTCTGTAACACTGTAAAATATCTCCTTTTTTTTTTTTGGGTTTTTACCTCCTTGAGTGTTGAACATCAGACAATTGATTGAATGAATGAGTTATGGCCACAGCGTGGCAACGAAACTGCCCCAATTTTCACTGATGAACGATACACTTGACAAGTTTCAAGTTCCGGCCTTAACTACATGTATGTCTCTTCTATGGAAGTTAATGGAACAGCGTTGCTTTTGCCCATGATTTTGCCCAAAGAAACACTTATTGCCATTAGGCAGTACCAGTTAGGGTTAGGGTTAGGGTGCGGTAGTTACCCTTCCTACTTCAAGTAAGTAATTGTGTAAAAGTCAGTAGACCTGTGCATTCTTGAAATCTTATCTCAGGTGTTCCAACTTTGGTGTTTTTTTTGACGAGGGAAACTTATGTTTCAAAACATCCATTTCAAATGGTGTGTTTTTTTATACTATGGTATCGGATTGTGACACTTCATTAGTTCAGAACTGTTCCTATGATATATAAATATATGTCCCCTGAGTGGACTGAGTGGAGTACTTGCCCCATGTAAACAGGGTACAGTACATCTCCTAGGGGCTATTGAGAACTATGGAATACCAAAACAATTGTTGTCTGTACATGTATTGTGATATAGTCCACTGGTTTTGCACACCTTCAGGGGAATGGGCTCACTTAGCTTTGCCATAAGTCAGGTACAATACGCCAGTTCGGTATTCCAAAATAGTCTGGTGCACAGCAAGATTCGACGATTTTCTTTCGGGATATCCGCTGCAGATAAATGCAAACAAGGCTATGGGGGACGTGGTAACCAAATGTACATTCTGTGAAATTTTTTGTGCAATTGAGAAGAGTAGAACTTTTTGTTTGCATAAAAGTTTGGACACACAAGACACATGAAAACACTTCACTGTCCAAACGATTGTTTTTGTTGCAAAAATGTTACTTCAGAACACGATGATCTCTTCAACTTTGCTGGTACCCAGCTATGCTTTTGCACGCATAGATGGAACTTTCATCCTGAAAGAAAAATTGGCAAATCTTGATGTGCACATGAACAGTTGGATACCGTACTCGCTTATTCATATGAAAATATGACAACAGACATTTGTTTTCAATTTTAATTATGCCCTAATGGTTATTGATTTGGTACAATAACAATTACCCAATATTCTCAATGTAATTTTTAAGAAAGTTGTGGGAAGGCAGAAATATTGGGTAATAAAGAAGGGTCACTGTATGTATGTTCACCCACTGGGAATGAAACTCGAGTGGAAAATAGAACAGGAGACCGCTTGAAAACAGTACATGTGCTCTACCAACTGAGCTATCGAGCTCCATAGTTGGCAGTCTCCAAATTTGTCAATCTTTGATCTGTGGTACATTTGATAACTTCAAATATCAAATCTGCCAAGGAGCTGGCGTAATACTTTTTTCATTCAAGCCAATCATAAAAGTAAAAATAAGATACATTTAAGAAAAAAGTTAGAGTCATACAGGGAGTTTGAACTTTCTTTCTTTCAAATCCATATTTGATCTTCGATTGTGTAAAACTGTCTGTTGCTTCATGATGAGCACAGACATCAAATCGGAGCTAACTCCTGAACTCAGGGAATTTCAAGAAAGTGCACTCGATCCCGCTGAGTGAAACTGTTCAAAACTGCTTACACTTGTTCCATTCTACCTAAGCAGCCAATAAAAAAAAATGTGGTTGGTACATGCACACATCACATCCTTAGGACATATCCTTATCTCATAAATACAGTCACCTCTTGCTTTTAACATGACATTTACGCTCAGTTTTTTTTTTTAATGGGGACCAAAAACTTTGCCCCAAATTGCATAAAATGACAATAAATGTTTAAGTCTCTTTTCTACACGAGAGTACACGTTTTCGGCTAAAGAGTAAAATTTACAATGTCTTTAACTTGACTACAAAGTTAATTAGATTACACTTATAATGTGTAAGTTACATTAACAAACACGGAATGTTCGTCAATTTCTTGCTACTTTTACTTTTTTTTTCTCCAAATGTATTTATGCCTATACTTATTTCAAAATCCACTTTGACTTAAACTGTTGAAACTATCTACTAGTCATACAGAACTAAAAGCCAAATAAATGGACAAAATACAAGCAATTCTCTAATATAGCAGAGAATCAAACATTAAAAATTATGCGAATATATATATATTTATGTAAAAAATTTCAAAGCAACTTTGTACCATTAAAAAAAACCCACAGGAGTCAATAAATATCTGACATCTAACCAAACCTGGAACTAAAGCAAAATCTATAACCACAGACCACAATTTCTTCTTAAAATCCTGAAAGAATCGACGAGAAAAACGCTACAAATTGGGAGCCTCACACACAGAGAATGATATTCAATGAATATACATGTATGTATAGCTATTTCCTTATATAATTTTTTAAATATTCATAATGTAGTCTAGTTTGTATTTCTAAATACCGTAGTTTGACTTTACATATTTTCTCTTTTTTTAAAGCAGCCTTTGTATATTTTCCTTCAATAATTCTGCCTTGTTTTACGGGGCACTCCAGAATGCATCCAGCAAAAGTGGCCATGCATATCCTCTATGTACGTATTTGCCATTGCGAAAAATGTCCCATTTACACGTACTTGGAAAGTTACAAAATAAATGGAGACGAAATCGATTTAAACACTAATTCCTCTAATGCTTAAAGGCTGGGCACCCTCAATTTTTATTTGCCATTTTTTGTTCAATATACAAAAGTGTGGATAAGTTGGTTTAAATCTGACAAAACATCAAGATATATTCAGTATTAAATGTTGGCGTAGTATGTGGATATTGCCCCCTCCCCCCTAAAAAAACAACAAACAAAACAAGGTAGACGCCCAGAACATCTAACGTAAATAGTTCAGATACACATTACAGTGGAATGCATCTAAAGTCCACTTTCCGCATCCACAAGCAAAATCCCAACAGCCTTTTCCCTGCACAACAGCCTAAAACACTCCTTCCCGTCGCCTCTAACCTTAAAAAAATTCAAGAGTCTATGTATTCACAGTTTTACATACCAGTCTATGTATTGAAAAGGTCAACTGGAAACTGACATATAGTGTCAGAGATTACATTTTTATTTTTACACAATATCTACTAATGTCAGAGTTATTCTTTCTATATCCCTTTCGTTTGTTAACTGTACTGCACCTCAATATTGCAAGCCTGATTTTTGTTTTTCTCTGTAAAGTTCGTGTCATCCTCAAAATACACATCTATACCAGTTCTAAGAATCTCATTCTAAAGACTTTGCGGCAACCACCACAGGAGGAAAATACACAACCGTTTGTTTTGGTCGGATTGTTCCCTCCATGCCGTCCTGAACACACAGCGACGGTGTGAACAGCTGAATGGAATGGTGAAGGTGACAACTTGGCCCAGACAAGATAGATTAATTTTGGTTTAGAAGAGGTGGTTAGATGGAGAAGTGCGCCCTCGTGTGGTAGGAAGTGATATCACGATGGAGCCACCGAGGAGATAATGACTATGACTATCACCGTCAGCAGGACCCCGCAGCACACCATGATACAGATCTTTTTCTGCAGGGGTTGTTTGTTGTCAAGGGATGCAGGATATAGCAAGCAAGATGGAAGGGGGTGGAGCACAATGACAGGAGGGTGTGGCATATTTTTAGAGTGGGGTTGAATAAGGAAGAGGCGGGGTTAGAGAGGGAAGGTGGGGTCAAATAGGGAAGAGGTGGGGTTAAATAGGGAAGGATTTGAATTGGGAAGAGGTTGTGTTAAACAGGGAAGGAAGGGTTTGAAGAGAGAAGAGGCGGGGTTAGAGAGGGAAGGGTGGGGTCAAATAGGGAAGAGGTGGGGTTAAATAGGGAAGGATTTGAATTGGGAAGAGGTTGTGTTAAACAGGGAAGGAAGGGTTTGAAGAGAGAAGAGGCGGGGTCAAATAGGGAAGGGTGGGATCAAATAGGGAAGGGGAGGGGTTTAAGTAGGGAAGGATGGGTTTGAATAAGGAAGGGGTAGGGTAAAATAGGGAAGGATGGGTTTGAATAAGGAAGGGGTGGGGTTAAATAGGGAAGGATGGGTTTGAATAAGGAAGAGGTGGGGTTAAATATGGAAGGATGGGTTTGAATAAGGTAGGGGTGGGGTTAAATAGGGAAGGATGGGTTTGAATAAGGTAGGGGTGGGGTTAAATAGGGAAGGATGGGTTTGAATAAGGTAGGGGTGGGGTTAAATAGGGAAGGATGGGTTTGAATAAGGAAGGGGTAGGGTAAAATAGGGAAGGATGGGTTTGAATAAGGTAGGGGTGGGGTTAAATAGGGAAGGATGGGTTTGAATAAGGAAGAGGTGGGGTTAAATATGGAAGGATGGGTTTGAATAAGGTAGGGGTGGGGTTAAATAGGGAAGGATGGGTTTGAATAAGGAAGAGGTGGAGTTAAATAGGGAAGGATAGGTTTGAATAAGGAAGAGGATGGGTTAAATAGGGAAGGATGGGTTTGAATAGGGAAGAGGCGGAGTTAAACAGGGAAGGAGGGGTTTGAATAGGGAAGAGGATGGGTTAAATAGGGAAGGATGGGTTTGAATAAGGAAGAGGCGGAGTTAAACAGGGAAGGAGGGGTTTGAATGGGGAAGAGGCGGAGTTAAACAGGGAAGGAGAAGTTTGAATAGGGAAGAGGCGGAATTAAACAGGAAAGGAGGGGTTTGAATAGGGAAGAGACAGGGTAACGTGCAATTGAAAAGGGAGATAATAATACGCAATGAAAGGGAAATGGTAACAGGAATGGGGGCATACACAGGGTCAGGTTAGAAAATGGAATGGATATGGCAAGAAATGGGTGATACATGCAGATGGCAAACATGTAAATCAGAGAGGGTGTGACATGGGAATTTGAAGCGGTAAGGTGAAAATAGTCAGTGCAGCAAGAAGGGAAGGGCGTGACAAAAAAGGAGAACATTAAGGAAGAGCGTGGTATGGTTGAGGAATGGCGGACACAAAAAGGAAAGTAATGGTAGAATGACGAATGCCAAAGCAATGAAGTCAAAGCAAATGAATTTGACGCAAATTCAATAATGGAACGCCAAAAATACCAAACCAAACATCAAACACACAAAACACACCATGAGAGGGCAGAATGAAAGAGCAATGGGTGGGAGGAGATGGGAAAAAAAGAAAATAAAAAGAGTACCTGTTAGAGCCACCTTTCAATGAGATGAAAATGCAAGCATGGTCAGTATTTGTGGTAAATGCTGGTGGGGAGTGTATTAATTAAAAACTATTCAGAGTGGGCAATTTTTTTTGGAACCGAGCTCGATTTTTCAAGAGCTGTTAAGCAAAAGAATACGTTTGTGTCCGAATTACTTGACTATGGCTTGAAATTACACACGTCTATGGCAGCGGCTGCAGCCACTTCCCACAGACTTGTGTGTCATTTCAAGCCATAGCCATTACTTGGCTTTGGCTTGAAACTACACACGTATCTATGCTAGCAGCTGATGACGCCACTTCCCAAAGACTCGTGTGTCATTTTAAGCCATAGCCATTACTTGGCTATGGCTTGAAATTACACACGTCTATGGTAGCGGCTGCAGCCACTTCCCACAGACTCATGTGTCATTTCAAGCCATAGCCAATACTTGGCTATGGCTTGAATTTACACACGTGTCTATGGTAGCGGCTACAGCCACTTCCCATAGAATGGTGTGTAATTTCAAGCCGTAGCCATTACTTGGCTATGGCTTGAATTTACACACGTGTCTATGGTAGTGGCTCCAGCCACTTCCCATAGACTTGTGTGTAATTTCAAGCCGTAGCCATTACTTGGCTGTGGCTGGATATTACACACTTGGCTATGGTAGTGGCTACAGCCAATTCCCATAGACATGTGTGTAATTTCAAGCCGTAGTCAAGTAATTCGGCGCAGCCTAACAAGCACTATGAATGGCATGACATTTTGGCTGGCAGCCCATCTTTGCTTAACAAAAATTGTCTGCGCTTAGCAATGTGCTTATCAGCTCCATTATAAGCTCTGTGCTCAAGGGAACCTTGGAAATATTGCTGTGTAATAAAAGTACCACTTCTTTTTTGACAAACCACTCAAATGTCAGTGTGACAACATCACCAATTCCAATTAGATACACACGTATCTATGCTAGCAGCTGATGACGCCACTTCCCAAAGACTCGTGTGTCATTTTAAGCCATAGCCATTACTTGGCTATGGCTTGAAATTACACACGTCTATGGTAGCGGCTGCAGCCACTTCCCACAGACTCATGTGTCATTTCAAGCCATAGCCAATACTTGGCTATGGCTTGAATTTACACACGTGTCTATGGTAGCGGCTACAGCCACTTCCCATAGAATGGTGTGTAATTTCAAGCCGTAGCCATTACTTGGCTATGGCTTGAATTTACACACGTGTCTATGGTAGTGGCTCCAGCCACTTCCCATAGACTTGTGTGTAATTTCAAGCCGTAGCCATTACTTGGCTGTGGCTGGATATTACACACTTGGCTATGGTAGTGGCTACAGCCAATTCCCATAGACATATGTGTAATTTCAAGCCGTAGTCAAGTAATTCGGCGCAGCCTAACAAGCACTATGAATGGCATGACATTTTGGCTGGCAGCCCATCTTTGCTTAACAAAAATTGTCTGCGCTTAGCAATGTGCTTATCAGCTCCATTATAAGCTCTGTGCTCAAGGGAACCTTGGAAATATTGCTGTGTAATAAAAGTACCACTTCTTTTTTGACAAACCACTCAAATGTCAGTGTGACAACATCACCAATTCCAATTGATTATTCAAATTGGTTCCTAAGGCCAACAACTCAAACTCAGCTGTAGTGGCTCCGAGTCACTTTTTTAACATTTAGATTCTAAATGTCAAATTCATGATTATGAGTGGATGATTTTATTTTTCTGCAGACAGAGTCAATACATTCTCCAGCCGGCATATCAAAATAGGGTAAGCAATCAATTATTTAAATGTGCTTTCAAACTACAGCAGCCGATTTCACGAACCTTTATGCAATGGCGCATTTCCGCTTGCGCCACAATTTATTGCGTAAGCTACCCAATATTTCACGCTGCGCAATGTTTCACTTATGACATATTTCACGAAAGTCTCATAGTGTTTAAGTCCACGACTTGCGCAATACATTATGGCGTACCTTGCGCAATCATTTTAGGTGGCGTACCAGCTAGCGACTGAAAATTACCTATGCAAGTAAATTGTAATCACCATGGAGCCTGTCATTGCACAACTGATAAATGTCGAAACAAGACACTCACAGATTCTTGTTTGATAAACTGCTATTTTACTCTTGACAGAATTTTTAGAGTTGCCGCAAGATTCCGAAGAAAGTCGGACAAAGTAATTTTCACAATGGCGGGCTGAGGTGATTCAACGACTGTTTCGTGAACAAACAAATTCATACACAAACGGCCATCATAAATGCTGTTCTTATCCTCGTCCAAGATGTTTAGATTATTTAAAACGTTGTGCAGCTACGCCAAGTTTCGTTAAAACGATTGGAAATTTATTACGCAGCTGCTCAACAAAATTGTTGCGTAAGTATTATGCATAGCAAGCTACACATTTTTTTCGTGATATCAGCTGCAGTTGTTTTAGTTGAGTTAACCCTTTTGCAGCATGGACAGTGCATACCATGTACCGGAACATGTACCAGTATGGTCTTATGCGGGCCCTAAATTTTCTCCTTCGCCAGCAAGTTTCAGAAGAAAACTTTCCCACAAACATGACAAAGCGGTGATCAAATGCCCAGGAAAGACAAGCTTAATGCCCAATAAATGATAGGGTTAATAGCAAATCTGGACAGCAATTTTTACAGGATAAAAACAAAGAAGAGCCGAGCACATTAGCCATGACAGATGACCATGATGCCATGGATATGGTTATGATGATAAATGAGTCATCGATTAATGGTTATTGGTTGTTAATATCAAAGCCAATGGTGTTCCATTGCAAGAAATCTGTTATGCATTTGGTGACAATTCTAAAGTCCAGGTCATCTACTGGAAAAGTATAAATAACATTGTAGTGTTTACAAAAAATGGTCGTTAATTCAGCTTACACTTAGCTCCAATGGAAAAACATTGGCCCTTTAAGCTACCTCTGTTCAGACGCATGTGGGTCATTCTTTAAATTTAAGGACCAAATTGTGAAATGTTCCTTGTTCTGTTACCTTGGTACCGGTACATTGTAATTTGCCATTCAAGTTTCATTAGGAATGACTCCAAACAAAGTATTTGTTACCAGTAGATTTCGTAATCACTCTTAAAGGGAATACATACAACATTTGCTTTTGCTGTAATTTTCAGAAATGGATGGATTTCTAACTTGTTTGAAGTTTTGTGTTCATGGATGCTGGAAAAAGCTGGAAAAACAATGTTCCTGTTCCCTAACCGCAGTTATGATGAAACGGGCAAATTTATAGGCGTCTGGGAATTGTAAGGTCAGGGAACCAGTCTAGCTGGCTTGTACCCGTTCATAGGTGTGTAATCGATTGCAAACAAACTGTGGACTAACTAAATATGGTAAATTGGCGGCAGTACACATATTTGTAAAAGCCGGGGCCAACCAGCATTGGACATTGATACAAAAATACCACTTTTCTTGAAAATAACAGCACACCAGGTGCCATGATTTCACAGCATGCTTTAGACTGTCATTCGTTAACAGTCCAGTAAGGTATTTCATAATAATTTGGTACTTTTTTTAGTTGATGTTTACAAATGTTGTATATTCCCTTTAAGTAGTGCTTCAGAAGTATAAAATCACAGATGTCAGATGTAACAGGGACAGGAAAAAAGAAGACCCCAAATTTCATAGAATGACCCATGAAACAACTTCAATAAATAAAAACATACATTAGTAGGATGAAATCAAAGTGCTGGGTTATCATGACGTACCGTACCGTACTGAATACAAATGTACATTTTCACCACTGCACCACTTTGCACCACACACACACAAAACACTAAACTCACCAGAAATATAACGATTACACTCTTCATCCAATTTGTCTCAGTTAATAATATACAGGGTTCAATCACCCCTTCCTAAATCACTGCATTTTAAAAAGTTCTTTGGGAATTCACTGCAGGTTAAGATTCATCCAATCAAGTATGTAGACCATGTTTGTTGGCATGGAGTTCATCACGATATTTTTGTTTATGTGCCTGTTGTATTTATTTTTCAAGATTATGACTTATTCAATCTTTGACAAAGAAATGATATAGACAATGAATGGGCCAACAGATTTGGGAGAGTCTTCTCTGGCCCAGAAGTTTAACAAAAAAATAGTAGGACTAGGTTCACATCATTTTCAGCAGATAGGGTACCCAAAAAAGTTATTAACAAACAAAAGACATGTACACAAAATAGCAGTATGATGCAAAAACGGCATGCATAAACAACATATACATTATACATCAAAGATGATACCAATACAGCTGTTTCCTGAAATGGAATGTTAATGTCAGTCTGAAGCATGTTTCTTGCATGAAAACTGAGTTGAGCTAATGCAGATTGATGGTTTGGGAGAACTATTCCTCTTCGGAACAAAATTTAGGTAAATATCTTGTCAAGGGTATTGTGCAAATAGTAAGTGCTTTGCAGCAATTTGGCACCAAAGACAGAACATATGCAAATGGTTTTAAGTGTTGAAAATTTAAAAATCCTTAATTGTAACAGAGACAAGTTTCCTTGGATATACTCATGCCCAGGGCAAGAACTGCTGGCCACACTGCACTCAACACTGTATCATCGTTGTCTTAGATTCTGAGATGGAGGTTATCCAAGCTGACTTTTGAGTTGTTCCCTGTTGTCGATGGAAGCTCTGCAAATTGATGTCTTACTGCAGCATCGTGGAAAAAAACACCACAGCTCCACCCAATTCACCCTGCTTTTGCTCCGTGGATCTTCCCACTATATTGGCAGCATTGCTACCATTATCAGTAGCTCCAGTTGCCGTATTTAGCCATCTGTATTAACCTAACATCACTGGTGTCTCTATTGCTGTATGAAGGAACTGGCTAGTGTGTGGTGTACATGTACATGGTCAAACCAAACTTGTGTACATGTAATACAAAACTAATTATCACACTTTTGGCCTGAATGATGTAAACATTGATACTGTGTGTCAATACAATACGCACAAGATATCACCACCAAAATAAAGAAGTCACAAATGCACCAAACAACTAAAAATTAAACGTAAAAGGAAATGTATTTAATGTAAAATATGATATTACAAATTCATCCACAATGCTAACATCAAAATGTAAATGTACAACACAGTGAAACCACCAATACAAATTAAACAACAATTGTCACATGTAAGAAAAAAATATAGAAACACGTTCACTGGGATGAAGACAGCAGGTAGGTCTGGTACCCAGAAGACAATCACAGAATCAAATTAGATGTTGATGGTGTTAAACTGCTGTATGAGTCCAACACACGGCATATCTATTGGCACACTGCACATTGAAAGCCCATTTGCGACACTAAATGCTGCAGTTTGTAACTCGTAACAATCAGTCCATCAAAATGGGTCTTAACTTGCTGAATAACGGCTACCAATGAAAACCGGTTATTCAACAAGATTTACCCGCTCGGCAAAACTGAGGTTACTCTGGACAGTCAAATACAATGCACATCACGACTGACGTGCATTGTACGTGACCCAAGTTGAAAGGAATATTCATATCGACTCATGTTGATGGCTATATATATTACCACACATCCAAATGCTAAATGCCTGCAGTGCAAATCTACACACACAGGTTTATTACCCAAAAACAGATATCAGAATAAAATATTAGAGTAAAATTGATTGCTTTTAACATGTTCAAAGAAAAGAGAATGGTTGGATTGCTTACCCGCCTAGCTTTACTCTGATACTTGACAGCTTTCTTGGTGTCCATCTTGGCTGTTTCTACATAGTCCACTGATTGTTCTACGTTGTACTCAATCCTGTCGATCATTTCTCCCTGAGGAAATTGGGAATAAGCACTGATATGTAAAAACAAAAACTTTCATCTCACCAATGACGGTGATGTCACCAATTTCACTGCCTATTCAATCCTATTCAATGCTTAAAGGTACAGTCCATCATTTGTAAATCTAAAGAAGGGTGCTGAACAACTAACCTGATGAAGTTTCAGCTCAGCTTCAGCTGTATATTTCGAGAAAAAGCAACATTCTAGGGTCTCAATTTCAAATCAAAGTTGCTGAATCATGTTTTGAATTGGGCCTGAATTCAGCGTCCGAGACACGTTCTCACTGAGCCGATTGTAGCTACGCGATGTTGCGCACCGATCCGACGAATTAAAGCAACCGCAAAAGCAAAAGCACTCTGTACATACATGTATGCAAGTTGGGTCATAACCATAGGGCTGTATTAAACTACTACAGCACTTACTCGCTGTACAAAGTGAAGCCTGCTGGGCACATGCATGCTTGTGCACAAGCCTATGGAAAACTTGAAATTTAGTACGGCTATTTGCATATCTGCATTTGTATTCTATACAAGCGTGTTATCGAAGACAATACGCCCAAAGCTGAAAAGTACAACCAGTACATGAGCGTTTCATTTTGCTCTGCGTAAACTTACGCAAACGCAAACATTTAACGCATATGCACTACAGATGATTTTTCCCACAATGTTTTTTTTAACCATCATAAGCCCTGTATACTCATAGAAATGTTGCACTTGCGTGTTGCATTTAGAGCACGTTATCCGAAATTCATTCCATCTGATTTCATTATGTTCTATAACCACGCACATGAATTCAGTATGCCTGTGCTCAGGACGGCTTCAAAGTATCTCCGTGGGAGAATGAGGAGTTAGTGCTCTAATAACTTAATATACCTCTATGGCCACAACTTGGTCAGTCAAGCATTCCCCTTTTTCTAACCAAAGATACACAAAATTTACAAAAAAACGAAACCCAAATGTCGGGACCATTGTTTTAGTGAAGTTCTGCATGTAGCACTTTCAAAATCTAGGATATGAAAGTCCAATTCATAAGCTTCCTTTTAGTACAAGTATCATTCAAACACCCATGTACTTTTCAAGTTACGGAATTTTAAACACAACCGCCGTTTTAAGGTTCTGTCCACGGATCACAAAAAACTTGAGTGTTCTTTCAGCAAAACGAAAACAACTCACATACGGATGTGTGTGAATTGTTTTCGTTTTGCTGAAATAACGCACACCTCTTTTTAGTGATCCTTGGACAGAACTTTAAAATGGTAGTTGTGTTTAAAACTCCGTAACTTGAAAAGTACATGAGTGATTTGAATGATACTTGTACTAAAAGAAAGCTTATGAATTGGAGTTTCATATCCTAGAGTTTGAAAGTGCTACATGCAGAACTTCACTAAAACAATGGTCCCGACATTTGGGTTTCGGGTTTTTTTACTCACCCTGTATTTGGGATGAAGTACCAAATGTTGGGGATTAATAATAATTTAAGGGTGCACATATAAGTACATGTACATGTGTGTCAAGAAATACATGTGTTCAGTACCTGACTTTCCACCAGCATGGCCATGTCCATGAACATGTCGTGTAGTTCTCGGATGCTGTTCTCCAATTTGATAATATCGTTGTGGCGTGCTTCTATATCCCGCAGGGTCTGTTTGGCCTGTTGTGTGTCCATAATAATCTGTGGGAATAAGCAACAAAATCAGCCACTGAATTGACTTCATTCCTTTCTGCTGACACTTCAATAGAGGGCAATGTTTATGGTCTGTGTACTGTACCTCAGTTGTAACAGTTTCTGTATGCATATTTCCATTTAACCAGTTTGCGTCGGAGGCCGTGTTAACACGCACTGGCTGTTTTGATACACAGGCACGGCTGACGGGTAAAAACGTCAAGCCTGCCTCGACTCGTGACTGACCTAAATAAATTGCAAATTGTTGAAAACCTAGTTTCTATAATCCCCCCCCCCCCCATTTCACCATAATTTTCAACTATCTATTAAAATATGTGACCATGGATCAATCCAGACAATTTGGCATTTGCTCAGAATATCTACTACAAAGATTTTCCACAGCTCTTTCTCCAGTACGTATTTAACTGAAAACGGAGAAAGTTAATAGAGTTGTGTTTTATTCATTGTTTATTTCTTGTTTGCAGTCAGCTTACACCAGATGTAAATATGGCTGGGTTGCCGCTCTCCAACATATCTTCCAACTCTTCATCGGTGGTGGACTTCCCAGCTGACAAGAGACAAACACACAAAAAAAGGTTGCAGTTAAAATTTGAAATATCAAAATGTAGCTACATGTACTTCTAAAATGTCTTGAATGACTGTGGATACAGGCAATGTACTTGTTCTGCATAGCCCCCCGAGGTCCGACACACAAAGGGAGAACAACAGATCCTTTCAGTCCTCCGGTTGGGTCTTTTGTTCAAAACGGTCCTCTGTAGTAGGTTTGTGTGCTTTGTCTATGAAAGAGTGTTATATTTCAGGGACAAAGGGAAACACAAAGCATTGTCCACGAGAGTATAGTAAAACCAGCGTGACTGTGGATGCAGGCAGTGTGCGGCCCCGTGTGAAGCACCTTAGTATGCAGACTTCAGGGCCGAGTTCGGGCGTTCTGCTCTTGACACGGGTGAAATGTGGTCCAATGGAATGGGGTGCTGTGGTCCAATGGTTACAATGTTCGACTCATGTGCCGTGGTACATGGGTTCGAATCCTGTGCAATCCTGTAATCCGGAACAGGATCTCACACCACTTATCCGTTAGGGTTTTGCCCGAACAATATACCCGTGTCAAGAACAGACCACCGGAGCTCCGCCCAGAAGAATTCCAGGAAAAAAAAAAATTCTATTCATAAGTGACTCGAGACTCACTCAAACAACGACTCAAAACACGAAGATGTTTTCATTTGAATCTTGAAACAGGACTCAAACCGAGTAGTTAAAGGTACAGCAGATCATTTCTCATTTGTCATTGTGTATTTGTTTTGTTTGGAGCAACACAGGTGCTCAAAATCTAAAGATGTGTGCTTAACAACCAACTTGATGAAGTTTTAGCTCTGTGAATGCTGTATATTCTGAGAAAACAATGTTCTAGGATATTGCAGGCAGCCGATTTCTGGCACACAATGGCAAGCATCTGCCGAATTACAAACCAACTACTGATGGAAAATTCCAACAATGTGTCACTTGACGCATCTTTGGAAATGGCCTTCTTTATATTGTTTTCTTCCAAATGACAGCATGCTAGAAAGAACAATTCACAGAGAGTTTAGTGCCATTGCTATCTTTAAACCAAGTCAGCTTTTCAGCATTGATTTCGTCCGTTACTTTTTGGATTGCTGCAAACGATCTACTCTACCTTTACGAACCCAAACTTGAGCTCAAATGAAATACGCTGGGATTGGCCCAGATTCCTGGCTGCTCCAACTGCAGCCAGGAAGTTTGGGAACGAAATTTAGCAAAAGGGCACCAATGAAGTTATCGTTAAGACAGTTCAGAACCTGTGCAAAGACTAAGTGAAACTACAAGTGCACTGAACACATTAGCGGGGCTGCCAACTTTGAGTAAGAGCTGAAAGTGAGAATTTGGCGATGGAGCTTGATCAGAAGTAATCATACTATAAATAGGAGCACGAAGTGCGAAGCCCAAACGGCGCGAGTTCAGGACGCTCTAAGGTGCGATCAGGACGCTCTAAGGTGCGATCGGAGGCAATTTTTGACCACTTTAACCAATAAGCCATTTGCAAGTTAAATTTGAATAAAATCTGAAACGCTGACTTAATCCAATGCTTTGCATGTTTTAACTCTGCATTCTCCCGACCAAAGCGACTGTTACTATATCACGTGATTCGGGGCCAGCCTTATGCGAGCAACCCCAGCTCCAGCATGGCCTGGTGTCTTTGTGCCATTCTCACCCATTGTGAAAAATGTATTGGTGCTGAGCGTCTCTTACGTAACTATGCAAGAGCTTGCCCCGAGTCATGTGATTAGCAACAGCGTCTTTGGCCTGGAGAATTCAAAGTTAAAACTTGCCAAGCATTCTGAGCAAGTCAGTGTACCAGATGTTTTTCAAATTTAAATCCCAAAGGGTATAGGTCACTCGCAAATGGCTTATTTTTTTGAGCAAATGATCATCCTAAACATCACTTTCGAGTTTTATTTATTGCTTTTTTTAGCGTGAGAAACCCCGTGTGCGCGTGACAGAACAACGTGACATGCGCGAGTCTCACGCTCAATGCGCGAGAGTTGGCAGCCCTGCACAACCTGCAAAGAAAATATTCAATTGTTTTTTTCTGAACATATAGGAACAAATATCTGTACAAAAATCTCCATACATGCTGAAAGATAAAAGTATATTGAAGTTAAAATCTATCTAAATAATTTCAAAATTATGAGAATATAGATGTACAGGGTTGACATCACTATACACCATTGGTAAGAGTTTATTCCCATGTTTGCAACCAAATGAAATAAAAGTAGAGCTACTTAAAAAAATTCACCATGATGTGCAGTTACTTTGTTTTTACTTTATTGACCAAATGTTCTTATAGCTAACTTCTTCACTTTACTTCAGTTTACTGTATTTTGGAGTTTTTTCTGAAGAATTTCAGCATTTCTACACCTTGTGTCAAATTTCTACACCTTATGTCATATTCGCTTTGTGCTTGAAAAAAAAAATCTCCCATTTTTAAAGTTGATTCTCCAGTGAAGAAACAATTTCATTGTGGTTTTGACACAAGTACATGTACAATCTAACCTTGCTTAAATCTTTAGAAAAAATAACGATTAATCACACTTTCTTGTAAACTTTTCCAAAAACAAGAAGAAAACACCCAATGCAAGGAAGTGTGAGAAACAGCCGTTTTATTCCCAATGATTTGCATTTACCAATGGCATACTGTGTGTGAAGTTAACGATTATCCAAAAACATGCAGGGGAAATTACAGAAAAAAATCAAACATTGAAATCTGGAGGGTTTAAAAAATAATCAAAACAATATGGGAGAAAATTCAAGAAAAAATGACTTCAAAAAGGTTAAATTTTTACAGAAAGGTTGTAAGAAATTAGTGGGGAAAAAATATATCAAGAATACAAACAAAATTACGGTAACTCAAAGCAAATTTACGGCGATAAAAGCTTTCTGTTCTGCGCTATCTTCTGTTAGTTATCACGCAAGCGCGAGTGTAAAATGGAATAATGTACTGCGTCTGTGTCCCACACACCACGAGGCCTAAGACCGAGTGGTAAACAGGGAACAGACATACCGGAACTACATTTCCGTGTTCCACGAGCACGAGTGGGCCAACGAATTTAAATCTTCAAGCAAACTTGACGCACAGTAAATATGGAACGCGCAAGCTGTACACAAACTTTTCAGCGATTAACCTATCACACGTGCATGTTGTACGGAAAGGCCGGAATAGCGCGTGCATCTTAGAATAGCGCAATACACTGTGTGAAGTATGGACCATGGCCCTGCTACATGGTTATATGTAGCACAGCTTGTTGCCATGGATTGACCAATCAGGATCGAGGATTCAAGTTTATTTGAAGATAATGTACATTTGAAGATGTACTGTTATGAGTGATCAACACGTTACTTTAGAGGGGCAAACCATAACATAATGTTCTGAATACCGTAAGTGTATAAAAAAAAAAGAATTAGTCCTTTCAATTTATTTGAAAAATTGCTCAAATAAAAAACTTTTTTTGTTGATAGCATGTTGACGGGCTGGTCTTGCAGGATATGAAGCTGGTATAATGCCTCCTCCCTATCAGCTGATTGAAACTTCTTTTTTCTTTCTTCCAATTATGCCAGTTTTGCAAATTCAAAAGAAAGCCACATCTAAAGAGCACTTACATAATCTTTCTTCTAGGATGCAAAAACTCCATTCTCATGTCATTACCATTCTCATGTCAGAAATGTACGAGTGAAAAATTCTGCTCAATTTTGAGTACTGTACGGCACTTGTACCAAATTTGTTCCAAATTGCTGCAAAGCATGAGTGTGTCAGTGTGGTGTGTAGTGTGTACTGTAGCATTTGTGTATGGTGCAAATCGAGGACACACACGTGCAACATCATCAGTGAATCAAAGTCAGGAACCAAATCGACGACAACCTCGATTAGAAAACATGTACATGTACAAAACCAATGAGAGCTGTTGCAAAAAAACAAAAGAAAACTGAAGGACAACAATAGAAACTCCTCGATTTACACCATAAACAAACGTGCTAGTGTGTACTAAAATTAGTTTCATAAAAGTGTCCAAAGTCCGAGTATAAGAAAAGCTTATTAATTCACACGCTCACAATTTGGTTCTTTCCAGTGTTTGACTGTGTGTTTTGATCAGTGCAAGTAACCAACTACATGTACATGTTTTTTGTTTGAATGGTGTACATACATGTACCTGCACCAGATTTCACTAAACGATGCGACGCGTCGCAACTTGAGTTACGACGTGTAACATGAAACAACTCGCGATGTGTCGTACAATCCATTTCACGAAACTTGCGATGTGTTGAACACGTCGTAAGTTCCTTGACAACGGCTTAAAACATGTCGCAAGTTACAACGTGTCTAGTGGTCATCGCAAAATAAGAAGAGCTCTTTTCTTAGCCAGTTTTATGCCTCAAACATCACATAAATGAGATTATAATACCGAGGCAATGTGTGTAAAATTGTACATTTTTACGAGATTATAATACCGAGGCAATGTGTGTAAAATTGTACATGTTGTAAATTATAGAAAATGTATTGAATAATTATGAAATAGCCTGGAATATTGCAGATAAAATTTCAAAGAGGCTATACAGTCCACTGAGAGCTTGTTTTCCTTTTAAATTGCACCACACGGCCGCCATTTTATTTGACGTTTTAACAAATTTTGGGCGGAGATCCGACGACTCTTTGTTGAATATCAGAGGACTATTTACTGTATGGTAACTAATGACATTAAACAGTCATCGAGTTGTGCTAAAAATACACCTACGACGCATCGCACTTCCGACGTGTTTTGTGAAATGGATCGCAGGACGCGTCGCAGCACTGCTATGCATCGTAAGTTACGAAGAGTTTGATGAAATCGGGTGCAGAACATGTAGTTGTATCAGACTAGGAGCACAACACTGTTCTGTTTGGTGTGCGGTACAAATACATGTAAGGAAAAATTGTGCACCAAGATTTTGACATTGGGCGCACATGAAAAAATAATGTCTCTACATTTGTTTTCCTTTCTTTAAATATTTTTGTTTCAAAATTGCTCAATAATGCAATGTACTCGTATTCTATGATCAAGCAGGTCTACAAACCTACATGTATTACATTTTGTGTAGGAAATTTAGCTCATAAAAAAACTTGGAAGTGCTCCATTTTATTACTTTTCTCTGTTCATGCATTTTAAATGTAAAAAAGGTACAAGTACCGGTATTCGTTCAAATAAACAAGTACAAATACACATGTACCGAACGTTTACATGGTATTTATTCTGTTTTTGTGCATGCACAGTAAATGCGTGCACAAAACAAACTAAACTTATTCTATGCACACGTGTATATAATCTTGTTACATGTACATGTACATTTTCTGTAATGTACAAGACTTTGACAGAATGTACATGTACATTGTACAGTGTACGTGAATGTGGTTCTTACATGTACATGTACGTGTGCATACATGTATAATTCATTACTGTACATGTACCGGTACATGTACATGCATGTACATGTACATACGTGTACAACTGTGTCTTGGTGAATTCATCTTTAAGTCAGGCAGACTGGTGCACAATGTGATGGAATTGTTCAGTTGATGACAAAAAGCATGGAATTTGGTACACAATCAATGAATGTCATTGGAGGGTTATTTGGCTATCCGCTCCGTTCACAAGTACCCCCTCACCGGCAAAGAAAGTACAGTTGGGGGTGACAGACCGACGCCATCTTGCCTGACTGCAATTTTGCTGCGACGTGCGGCCGTACCACTGCGTGTACATAGTACAAATCCCCTGGTGTACAATGTACGTGCTTCACACACAAGGAACAGTGCGCGTCCACCAGCTAAATGTCCTGCCCATGGGACGTCGTTGCTAGCTAAAAGGGCGCCCTCTTTCGTTGGCGCACGGAGCCCATTGGGCCATTGCAGATTTACACTTTTGAAAAAAATATAGGTACAATAACAAGCAATTTTCAAAATGGCTGTGCTGCTTGTTATTCTACCCTTTATTTTTTTTCAAAGGACAAATCTGTGATGGCCCTACAGCCAAATACCTTTCTCATGACATATTCTGACTGTGTGCCAAATTCCATGTATTTTTTATATGAAATGAACAATCCATCACCAATCTGACGTTCCGGTACTACATGTAGGTGTCTGAGATAAAACTGGGGGGAAAGCTATCAAAAAGTGTTGTACACAAGACATCAAAAAATGCGATTTGTTTTTCTAATACAAAATAAATTCAAAAACCACAAGATACAGCTGCTTTTGAACAGGAATGTCAAAAAATTGCAAAGAAGAAGCAAAAACAAAGAAATACTTACTAGCTATTTATATGAAAGCAAGGTGAGAAAAAGAAAAAGAAATAAATACTGATTTAATGGAAAACATTTAAGGGGGACTGTGTACTGGTAAGCATAAGACTTTTCTCACTGCAGAACCAACCAAAAAATGTAACAATGATACAAAATATTTTTATTTTGGAATCCAACTTTTGAGATTGACGTGAACCACTTGTTTTGTTTTGTCTTACACAGTGGGGGCAGCAACACAGCCAAGGAGTTGTGGGTATTAAAACAGCGAAGAGGACATTTTCAAATGAAGAAAAAAATGTAATGGAGGGGTTTAGTGTTCTAGCCAGGGTGAAATTATATCGTAGGGACAATTTGGTCTGAGGACTAATGTGAGTGCGGAGCGCGAAGCCCTTACGTCATGGGGTTAGGGGCCCACTTCAGGGGTCCGGGCCCACGTCAAGGCCGCGGATAACTTTGGATTCTAGATGCTCTGTGGTGTAATCTTAGGAGATTCCTGTCAATTTTCCCCTGCACAATTTTTTGAGCAGAATATTTTTAAAATTGAAAGGAGAAATTGTGTTTGATTTGTTTCAAATACAGGTATGGCATCGCAGTACTGGTATCGTATGGGGGACGTGCGGTTGGATCATTGTTTATTTCAAAGCTTCTCTTGCTGTGTCGTACGGCCAGTGCGTAATGTGCGAAGTCGCCGCACTCATACGAACAAACACCAGCAAAAAAAATTTTTGGCAAGCAAAACTTATTATAGTGTAGTGATAGCGTAGCCGCACAATTTAAGTGCAGCACTTATTTCCAAAAGTGTAGTGGGTGAAAGCGCTATTTAATGCCTGGCTAGAACTCTGGAGGGGTTACCATGAACTGATTCTTGCTGGTACACAATGTGGGAATGGCGACTCTTAGAGGTGGCTTAACAGTCTATTTCACATAGTATGCCTGCTAACACTACCAGCTGAAATTGATAGCATACTGTTGCACATTGAGGTGGTAACAAACGGCACAAACCAGTGAATACATGTTCATTGTGCTTAGATGCATTTTACTAATGAGCAGCTCTGAATAACTGGTTACTGGAAGTGAGCCGTAAGCCGACCGCATCCTTCAAAACCCACAAGATCTGCACGAGTGCAGGTATGTTTTAGGAAATCTAGAGCCTAAGAACCCCTTTACACAGGGCTGCGACCTTTGGGCCTCCCTTGTGCGACCATAAAACTGGCCAGGTCACCGTTGGAGGCTCAAATGAGGCCAAATGGTTGCCGAGGTCTTTCAAAGGTGGTACGTAGGATGTTCAGACATCGCCATGGACGCCATGGTCGCCGTAAATTTTCGAACATGTTCAAAACAGTCGCACAAAGGTCGCCGAGGAGGTTGGTTGCTCAAAGGTGGCTCAAATGAGGCAGAAGGGGGAGGCACAAGTATTGCCGTGGTGGCAGAATGGATGCACAATGGTCAGCCAATGGTCGCCACGTAATACATCCGTTCTGTTGCAAATTTTACCATCAATCTGGGCGATGCTCCTGCCTCCCATGTGCCTCAAGGGTCGCCTAGGAGGCAGAAGCATAGCTGAATTGTCGACCAGTGATCGCCGTTTGTTGCCATTGGTCGCCGATGATGGCAAGGAGGCGGCACAGAGGAGGCTCAATGGTTGCCCCAACATTGCTCGGGGGTCGCTTATGTTGCCTATAATGGCGGTGGTTGCAGTTGGTTGCACAGGGGAAGGGGAGCCAGGCAAGTGGCTCAGTGGATGCACAGATCGCTCGTAGCTCGACATGAAAATGCCCGAAAATTGCAGTTTTGGTGGTTCAAGGGAGGCATAAGGATCGCTGGAGCAGTTACATAAAAACAGGATTTTCTAGGTTTAGGCGACCATTGAGCGTCCTGGCCATTTTTTGGTCGCTCATACCGGTAGGTGGTACAAAGGTCGCAGCTCTGTGTAAAGGGGGCCTTACCACTGTGATATGAAAAGATTAGTTTGCATGCACATGATGTGTCTCTCCCAAAGGAGCTCTCATAAGCAGTCGAAAGGTGCCATCTAATGTAGATCCACAGATTCTATAGAGTTAGGCCGAATTCAGTGTTTCGTTGGCCCTAGGCACCGGTATTCCTTAGGCCCTACCTGTACTTCACCCAAAGCACCGTCACCAAAATTGATGCTAAGCTGTACTTCGCAAGCCAGGCCAAACTGGTACAGTTTTTGGCACACTGTGGTCTTTTCATAGGCCCTCAATTTTAGGCCATAGGCACAGTATCTATAGTGCTTATTGAATAATCTGGGCCAGAACAGCCAGCATGTTGTTGACCTAATAACCTCTGATACTACGGTAGGTCATCTTAATTTGAATATTAAAGTACACGTTCAGTAGTACTACATGAACATTCCACATCTAGTCGAACTTCCCAGCTGGGCCAATCACAGTACGGGGAAGGTGGTATCCTCACAGCGCATGGCAACCAACACATTTTCAAAGCTCTAGGGAATACCCTATCCTCATCCTATGAGGTCCGGCCACATACATTTAGTTTTGTACATATTTATGTATTTTACATAATTATATACAAGTATTTACTTGTAGTTTTATATATTTTGGTTTAAGAAGTAAAATTTGCTTAGGCATATTTTCAGCTAAGCAGCTGAGGGAAATTCGGCTCAGCACAAGCACAGTGATATTGTGGTACCTTGGCCAGTTACTTACTAATCTCTAGTTGTCTCTGGATACGCCCCTTACACCTCTCTCTGTAGTCCGTTTGCGTGTTGTTGTAATCTGTCATAACCTCCACAAACTTCCTGGAAAGCGTCGAGTGCTGGATAAGAGTTGTGAAGGGAAAACAAGAAAAGACAAAATTTATAACGTTACCCCCGGTTCAGACAGGTGTTCCAGAGTGGCGCCGAACCAAACTGATTAGGAGCGACTCGAGGTCCACCCAAATATATTTTGGTTTCAGACATCAATTGATTCTTGGTAAACCGTGGATATTCGTAGACCAATCGTGAATGTGTGACTGGGGGCTTAAAGGTATAGTCCATCATTTGTAATTTGTGCATTTTGATCGTTTGAAGCAACAAAAGTGCTCAAGATCTAAAGAAGCGTGCTGAACAACTAACCTGATAAAGTTTCAGCTCAGCTTTAGCTGTATATTTCGAGAAAAACAACATTCTAGGATTTCGATTTCAAATCAAAAGTTGCTGAATCATGTTTTGTATTGGGCCTGAATTCAGCGTCCGAGACACGTTCTCACTGAGCAGCTACGCGATGTCACGCACTGATCCGACAAATTATAGCAACCGCGTGCGCGTGTGCGTTGTGTCAACGCTTGCGCGCGCTTCGCCGAATAAGAAAACAAACTACTAATTTGAATTTCTTACGGTGCTTCTTAAGAAGCACCGTTGGAAATGCCTTCTTTTGTTGATTTCTTCAAAATGACAGCTTGCAAGAATTTCACAGGGAGTTTATTCCCCTTACTATCTTTCAACCAAGTATGTTTTTCAACAATAATTACGCCAGTTACTTTTTGGATAGCTGCAAATGATGGACTCTGGCTTATAAGGTACATGTCAGACAGGCGAACTTTAAACAATGGAGTGTTGTGTACAAACAATCAAACACACGATCTTTGCAACAAGCTGGCATTGCGCAGCATTGACTAGAGCGACATCTGAAATCAAGTCGCTCTTGAGTCGTTCTGAACGACTCTGACAGTTGATCTTTCGCCATCTGGCGCGTCTAGCTTTTCATGTTCTTAATTCAAATCTCACCTTTAATTTGGCTCGGTGCGACTCTAAAATGCCCGTCTGAAACGGGCATTAGATTGTCAAGTCAGAGGATACCGGTACATGCAATATATCCAAATAAGATGAACGGCATATTCTCCCATCAAAATTCTCCCAGTTTGCACCGAACATGTCTTCATCTCTGATTTGTGTGATCAGCCCCACTTGCTAAACCAATAAATATCCCAAAACAATTTTTAAACACTCAAAGGACATGGCAGTTTGGGTGAAGTACTTTGACAGTCAGGTTGGCGTAGGGGTGTGCATCGGAGCCGGGTACCCGAGTAACCGACCGTTGATGTCAGGAACCAGTTCCAGATTATGGGATCGGTACCCGTAACCAACTTTACAAATTACTTAGCAATTCCCAGACAATGAAAAACAAAGGTTTGGATGCAATTTGTGGGGAATTTTCAAAATGAAAACCAGGCTACATGGAAAACCAGAACAGATTTCACATTTATGTGGATTTTAATGCTCGCAAAAGACGACGCTCGCAAAAGTTGCAGTTTACACCGTTAAACTATAAAGCCCTTCAGACAACTTCCGGGATTTGAATTTGGGGTTGGGTTTCCTTTATGAGTACACCGGTACCCGTGTTTTACTTCAATAGGGTACCCGGTTCCTGTACTACCCGCACACCGGTACCAGTATAGGTTCGCGCAATGGCACGATACTTTCTTTACTTCCACCTCTGTGTGCCAGGTTCGAATCCCAGCCAGGCTCATAAATGGATTGGGCTCTCAACTCTAAAATCACACATTTTATTCATCTACTTTCTTTAGGTTTCTTCGGGATAGCATCCATCAGTTTCATTTCTTTAGGAGCTATACAGCCATGTTTTCAAGGAACTTACCTGGGTCTTTCTTATCCTCACGTCCGCTGCGTTCATCTTGGAGCTTTCTTCTTGCTCAATGCTCTGCTCCATAACTGAAACGAGAACCAAAGATTCATGAAGACAGTCAACAGGGGAATCCAAATCGTCGTCAGAGACCACACAACCAAGTTGAAGCTGAATCCCTGTATAAACCTGCCCCCTCCCATCCCCCCTGATAACAATAACAACGACACTTCGCCTCGCACACATAACACCTTTAGCGGTGATGATAATAATAATACACAGAGGAGCCAACCACAGGGACACACTGTACGTGTTCTACATAACCCCCGAGGACCGACACACAAAGGGAGAACAACAGATCCTTTCAGTCCTCGGGAGTTGGGTCTTTTGTTGGAAACGGTCCTCTGTAGTAAGGTTGTGTGCTTAGTCTATGGGAGAGTGCTATATTACAGGAACACAGGGAAACACAAAGCATTGTCCTCGAGAGTATAGTAAAACATGAGTGTATGTGACCACAAATTCGTAGCCTTGTGGAGACTCACACACAATAGGGAACAAAACATTGTAAAGGTCTCCACAGGGCAATTTCTATAGATGAATAGGTCTCCACAAGGTTTTCACGAAATAGATATATGGGTTTTACTCAAAAACTAGGAATTTCCAAGGTGGGTTGATCTGTCGCAAATGGAAGAGTTTTAGAAAAGGGATATTAATTCCAAATTTCAGCCAAGGAAACTAATTCTGGTTAAAATAAGAGCATTTTGAAACTTCCCTTTCAAAATTGAACACTTTACTACACGAGAACAAAGAAATGTCTCCACAAGGATACAAATTTGAGAATGGGTGCCTCCCAGTGTTTTAGTGAAGCCAATCACAAGTCACTCCATAAGTCCAATCACAAGAAACAGGAGATAACTAATAACATGGAATGCTTTTGTCACGGTTCATTTGAATAGTTGTTTTGACTTGACTTGGTTGACTTGTGATGCATGGACTTGGAGTAACTTGTGAGGACTTGTGATGGACTTGACTACAACACTGACGCCTCCTTATCCTTCTCTCGGCCCCATCCAAACTGTATCCTATCCCACCACATCCCAACCCCACCCCATCCCAACCAACCTCACCCTGCCCCCATCATGTTCATGGCTGAAGTAACCTACTCAGAGGCATGCATACAACAGAGAAATTACGTAGAATTTGGGGAGCTAATCATCCTTAATCGCAGCAGAAGCTGAATTGCAAAGGACGCAAGTACTATGTGGTCGAGCTGAAGGCATGTAAAGGTGCCTTAGGCGCCGCCATATAACCCATGTCTTAGCCCCGAGCACACTAATGAGGGATCAGGTTGGCATGGCGGTACTTTCCTCGCCTTCCACCGCTGTGACCCGAGTTCGAATCCCGCCTGGGCCAACATGTGGATTGGCTTTCCAGTCCCTGCCTGATTCCGTAGGTTTCCCCTAGAATATCAAATGGGGTTTTCCACCCACCACTAAAACTGTAATTTCCTTCCACATCTTCTACCAAGGAACCCAACTGGAAATAAGTTGAAAGACTTTCGTGGTCTATCCCGCCCAAGTGCCGAATAATCACAAACAAACAAACAAACAAACAGCCAGATTGAAAATGTTAATTTTTGCGGAAGGAGGAAAACAGTAGAACCCAAAGGAAAACCCTCATGACACAGGAGAGAATCAACAAACAACTCTATTCACACATGACCCGAGCTGGGAATCGAACCCGGGCCACAGCAGTGAGAGGCGAGTGCTTTATGCACTGAGCCACCCATGCCACCATTACACTTATACTGTACACCATTAACACAACCACATCCCTACCCTACTCAAAAGCCCCTCAACCCCCTCCCCTACCTCACCCTTCACCCCCCCCCCCCCCCCCCACCATGCCCACTACCATGCCACTGTACTACCTGCACTACTCACCCTTTAACTTTCCCCTGACTCTGTTTGCTGTCTTCTTGATGTCTGCCATTAGTTGTTCCAGTTCCTCCTTCACCTCTGCAAAGAAAACAGACGAGCAAAACACCTGTGTTTACTGATCCATTCCCAATGGTATTTAGTCCCTGGTAGTGCTTTCTAATCAAAGATTGAACTGAGAAGAAGTCTGCTTGTGTGGTTCATTTTGGGCGGAGAATTTTGTAAGGAACTCACAGCATACACTGTACGAAAAAGAAACTGGTAGCTTGAAACTTCAAACAGGTACATGTACATGTCCCTAACAGATGCAATTGCCTTTTTGTGTTGGTTTTGCCTATATACTTCTAATAGCGTTGTGTATTAAAAGTGAAAATGGCCCCCATCCCTGACATGTTAAAGTTTCTGACGAGTAACAGAAACACTGGATTTTAATTTTTTTAAAATCTTTTCACAAGAGTAATCAATGTTGTTAATGCCAGAACTGTATCAGCATTCAAGAAAGGGATCGACTCTCACAGGAAAATAAACATTAGAGGATAGGGTTCTAAGGGCTTACATGCTCAAACGTTTCTTCTCATACATAAAACTGTTAGTGACGAGTGGCAGTACATGTATATTGTCGATAGTACATGTATTTTGGTAAGCCATGTATCTGACAAATGTTTGGGGTAGTTTCAGGGCAGCCAACTTTGAGTAGAACTAGAAGCCCTAAAGGCATGAGGTTCAGGGCCCACTTTATTAATAAGGGCCCCGAAAAAATTTGGATTCTAGACGCTTTGTGGTGCGATCTGGGGCAATTTCTGACCACTTTAACAATTATTTTTTAGCAAAAGATCATCATGTAGGCCTAAACATCATATTCGAGTTTGGAATCAATTATTTAGTGGGCGTGAGAGTGTGGGAATAACCTGAAATGCGTGAGAGTTAGCAGGCCTGATCTGGTACACGGTACCCTGTGGAGACATGCGCACAATAGGGAACAAAAGATTGTAAATGTCTCCACATAGCAATTTCTTTAGGTGAATACATCTCCACAAGGTTATCACGAAATAGATTTCCAAGGTGTGTTGATCCGTCGCAAATTGAAGTATTTTATGTAAGGGATATTAAGTCCAATTTCAGCCAAGGAAATTAATTCTGGTAAAAATAGGAGCATTTTGAAAGTACACTTTCAAACTCGAAAACTTTAGTACATGAGAACAAAGAAATGACTCCACAAGGATACAAATTTCAGTATGTACATGTAGGTCTCACTCCATTCATGTCTACCATGTCTACATTCAATTAATGTGAAACTGTACGTTTTGATCTGCGATTGGTCTGAACTCGCATGATGCGCATACATGTACATGTACATGTATGTGGGCACTCTGAACCAGTGTTGTATGACTCGAGTCACATTTTTCGTGACTCGGACTCGACTCGAGTCACATTGGAAAATGACTGGGACTCAGATTCGACCATGATGACTCGGACTTGAGCTTGGTGACTCGTGACTCATCAAAAGAAAAAACATAACGTTACGTACATGTATTTGTTCGACGAACGTAGCATTCTTTTTACTCCATAGACAAAACACGGCGCCGCGGAAAATCGTATAATGTTTGAAAAAAATTTGAATGATAAAACATGGAGGGGAGGGAGGGAGTGAAGGGATGGAGGAGGGTTTTTTTCGGGATGGGAATTAAAAGGAAAACACATTTTGGGTTTAAACAACATGTACACGCACAAGGTAAACTATTTACACTGGGATTTACTGAAAAGACAGAATGGATGATTAAAAATAATTTTTTTAAAAATTAATTAGTTTGGTGAACAACTAAGAACAAGTGACTCGAGACTCAGACTCGGACTCAAGGCTTGTGACCCGAGACTCAGACTCGAGGCTTGTGACTCGAGACTCAGACTCAGACTCGAGGCTTGTGACTCGAGACTCGGACTCGGGGCTTGTGACTCGGACTCGAGGCTTGTGACACGAGACTCGGACTCAGACTCGAGGCTTGTGACTCGAGACTCGGACTCGAGGCTTGTGACTCGAGACTCGGACGCGACGTTGATGACTCGACTACAACACTGCTCTGAACATGTACCGGTAGTGTGCACTTTCACATGACATTCGTATTTCATTCCAGGTTTCTGTGTCGTTACCTGTCCGTATACGCTACACTGGTTCTAATGTGATAAAACGAGCTTGCTGACGTGACCCGTTCCTCTGTACCCATCACACACGCATGTGATATATATGTTTGAAGGTTTCCGAGCCAAACGCTGCCGGTCCCCATGCTCCGTGCATTACATGTGGCAGGCGTCTGTCCCGTTTTTCCGACTGACTAGGTACAAGTTTGCTTTGCACTCTGGCGGAAACATAATTTGCCAGATTATGAGTCCTGTTTCCGTGGCTGCGGTGCCGAGCAAGTAAACCAATTAAAATCAATGCTCTTTTGGAATGGAGGAGAGACAAGAAGGGTAGAGGTAGGTGGGCTGAGGTATAACGCAAACGTGCTACAGACACAAAAGGTCAAATGTGAATAGAAAGACATACGAATACAAGGATGGGCCAGGATTTACATAAATTTACAGACTTGAATGTGGCAATAAATGTGTACTTGCAGAGTTCAGCAGACTGTGATAGAAAATTACCCTGTGTCTCATTCATCTGTTCTCCCCTCCCAAATTTATCTCCTTCTTTTACCCCGTTCACAGAAACGCTCATGCGTTTGCTCCTTTCTCCTCGTAACCCACCCCCCCCCCTTTTTTTTGTCCAATTCGGGCGAATTAGCTTAAGTTGTCTAGTGACAGTGTGTGACACTCATTTAAATGGGCCATGTTTTGTGGACCGTAAACTTTGAAAATGGACTCTCTATGGCAAACTCTTGGTGGCGCACTGCATTGTGAATCGCCCGAATTAGCCACCATCAAACTCCTTTGCTCGTTCATCTACCCGTACTCCGTTTGATCTTCAATGACTTGGCTTGTCACCTAATTAATCCCTCTTGGTCTGTTCCCCTTTTATCCGTCCTCTGTGCTTCCTTCTACCCCATTCCCTGTGATCATCACCCACACTGGTGTGTCCCCTCATTAATCCCTTTTGGTCTGTCCCCTATTTAATCCGTCCTTTGTTCATTCTTCTACTAATCCCCTTTGATCTTCCCTCTTCTGAGTTTCTCCTCCCAATACTGCGTGCCTGCATACTTGCTTCTTGTACCTCTGTCATTTCGCCTCTGAAGAAGATCTTTAAGGCCGCCTTAATTTTTTGCATTTGGATACCAATGGACCATGTCAAACCTGCTATATTCCAAACTTGGATGTTGTGGTCACATGATGCTGATTGATCAGCAAACTGTTGTATTCTGCACAATTGCTGAAATATGGCTGGTTTGGAAGCATTCACATTTTGCGTTCAATGCGGGCAAAATAACATTAGAAAAACATTGACACATCTACCGGTAGAGATATTTATTTTGCGTGTCAGATGTCAGTTGGCATGACATCACAGGTCACATGGTCTCAACGTTCATTATCTGCATTTGTACAAGTACAGTCGAACTCGGCCAGACCTAGCAGAAGTGTTTGTTTTAATACGCCAATTATTTTCCTCCATCCATTTACGTGTCCTTTCTATCTACGTTTACAGTAGGCATGACATGTGGTTTACATTGTAACTGCCAAAATCCCACCAACCATAATAAACATGCACTCAATTTCCTGAAGGATGCACATGTACATACACATTACGTACAAGTACGTATTGCATTTCCCAAGGAATTCCCACATACATTGTACATGTACATGTACATGCACATGTACATTGTACACAGCATAAGAACAATCTTTCAAGTTGCCAGCTGACGTCTTCGCAATCATGAAAAATTAATGGCGCGTTTGTTCTGTTGACTGCACCGCCAGTGGGTCAATGCAACGTACCCCTGCATGCATAATGTCCTCCAATGCTGGTACGTACAGTGCACACCAGTACATGTACATGTATTCTAATTCCAATCAGCCAGGGTATTGTATCATGCATAAATGCACGTTATATTGCCAACTGTACATGTATGTGTATCAGAGCTACGGTATCTATGCCACTAAGTACTGGTACTATAGTAGTGCGGGGTACCCACATGAATACATGAAAATATGGAAAAAAGGAAGAGTTTGTGTATTGACTTACACCGTACATCCACAAGTATCGTACCGGTACATGTACAGACGCCCCGGATTACACGTACCGGATAAACATGTACAGTGTACTTACATGTACATGTACGTGAAACATGCATACTACCATGCATAATTTTACGTTATTTTATTGTATCATGCATACATGTACATGTATTTGCCAACTATATCTCCCATAATATCATTATATAAACAGACAAGTGCATAATTAAAGCACTATGTACCGGTACATGTATGTCACAAATACATGTACATGTACATGTACCGTATATATTAGCACATATAGCCTACCAGTACATACATGTACATGTACATACGCGTACGAGTACATGTACATTACATGAACATGTACATGTACCGGTATTCATAAGATGTTCATGAACAAATAGTATAGTCAGGATCGAGTCGGAAAAAAAGACGTACACATCATGCCAAATATGGTTCAAAATTTTAAAACAAAAATTTTCACAAAAGACATAAATTTGGCAACGTTACAGGCACTGTGTTCTGTACACCTGTGTTCACTATATTCATTTATTAAAACAATGAAGAAATCTGCCATGATACATAAACCTTTAAACTTGGTACAACGTCTACATATACAAGTACATGTACGGTACATACCGTGTACCAGTTCATGCATGTCAAACTTTCCAGGCACATGGCTGGTTATAGAGTTCCCAAAAGTTTAATCCCAACATTAAACGAGATGAAATCAAAGTTTAAATGAAATCCCATCAGGTTTTCTCTAAGCACCCTGCTTAAAATCCAACAGATTCCAACAACAACATGTACAATATTACATGAAGATATATTTTATCCCTCCTCAATATAATAAAAACATAATTCCAACCATGGAGCATGTTCCAACCAAAACTGCATTTTAGTAGGATTCCACTGGA